AAGCCTGGGCTCGGCCTCTCCACCAGCCCCGCCCCTTCTTCGCGCCCCACCCCCGCCTCCTCACCGGGACCGAGCAGTAGCTGTGGTTGACCTTGACGGCGATGTTGGGCGGGTACTGGTCCTCCTGAGGACAGCTGGTGTCTGAGTAACAGATTCTGCAAAGACAACGGGGACCATGGTGCTGCTTCGGGGAGGAGAGGGTGGGTGAGGGGCAGGGGCCGGGAGGGCGGCAACTGTACAGGTCCCAAGACCCCAGGGACAGGGCCGGGGGTACACGGAGCCCAGTGTCTTTAACCCACAGGAGGGGAGGGGGCAGGGAAGGGCGTGGCAAGGGTCGCCCCGGGGCACAGGCACACCTGGGCCTACCTGAGCACGACCTGAACGGCCTTGACTCCCGGCTGCAGCTCTCTGCGTGGGGAGAACGGAGGTCAGGGAGGCGGCACCCAGCACGGTGACCACCAGCTGGGGCAATTAGAGCCCCACCACCCCCACACCCTAGCCCCACGCTACTAGGAAGGTGCCAGACATCCCAGCCCACACACGGGGTGGGCACTGCCCGCCCCAGGTGCGGGCGCAGCTGTGTGGGGCAGGGGTGGGGGTGGGGACTGCTCACACCTGGAGTTCCGGATCAGCTCCACCTGCCTGGGCGTCAGCGCGAAGATGCAGGGACTCTCCTGCAGCTTCTCGTTATTCTGTGGGACTGAAGGCAGCCAGGGTCAGGGCTGCACCGCTTCCTGGCCAGTGCCCTGTGCCAGCCTCTCCTGGTACTGACAGGAAGTGGTTGGAGACAGGGCCCCCCAGAGTGACCTCTTCTCTGGGGCCACTCTCATGCATGACCTGTGATCCTGGGGACAGTCTTGCCTGCTACCGCCCACTGAGGGCCTTCGTGGAGCACAGAAGGGGGAAGGGACTCTCATTCCCTCTCCCCCAGGTGGCACCGGTCCTGGCCCTGGCTCTCCCTCCACCAGCCACTTCAGCTGCCTCGGTCACTTGGGCCAGCGCAGGGGACCAAGGACTGCATGTTGAGGGGCTCAGAAGCAAGAGGGAGAGGCTGGCCCAGATCACACTCAGGGCCTTACCGACATCACAAAGTACCTACTGGGTCCGGAGATCACAAGGAGCCGACTGGGAGCTGAGGTTGGCAGGAAGGGAACGCAATCGTCACCTACCTGGGGCCTTCCCACCCTGTTACAGCTAAACGCTATCACTGAGGAGATGGAGTGCTCTGGAGCCGACAGGAACACAATTTCCCAGCGCTTGGGTGATTGGGCCAGAGTGCAAATTATGTTGCACTTCCAATGCTTAGGGTGGAAAAGGAAAAGCTAAGCACGGTGGTGTGTGCCTGTCTGTCATCTCAGCACCTGGCAGGCTGAAGCGGGGTCCCCTCGAGTTCAAGGCCAGCTCACGATAAATACAGAGTGAGACCTTGTACAAAATAATGCGTAAACGAAAAGTTTTCAGATGAGTGATTTAGGCCTCCTCCCCGAGAAGTTGGAAAAAAGAAGTGCAAATTAAAGGCAAAGTCATGGAAGGAAATAATAAGAGATAAAAAATGTAAACCAAACAATGACCAAAAATAAAACCAAAGCTCTTTGACAAACACGTAGCTGGACTGAACAACAGAAGCAATGGTGTGGAACCAAACTGTCCCTAAAAGGGACAGAATTGGGACAACAGCACAGACCCTATAGTGGTTTAGTTCAATGCAGAATGTGAGGGAGACCTTGGCACTAACAAATCTGAAGGCGTAATGAAATGGACCGATTTTCCCAAACACAAAACTAGCCAGTCAGGCACCAAAAGACACCAAAAGCTGGAAAAGCTCTTTACCCTTTAAGGAAACTAAAATCAGAATTAAAACCTTTCCACAAAGAAACCTGCAGGTCCAGATTGGTGAATTCTAGCAAACGGGACATATCATACAAGCTTTACCCAAACTCTTTCAGAAAACACAAAGAAAAAACACGTCCCAGTCCATTTTATGAAGCAAGCACAACTGATGCTGAAACCTGAAGAGATGCATCAGGGGAAAAAAAATCAGACCAGGTGTAATGGCACATGTCTGTCATGCCAGCACTCTGGGAGGCTGAGGCAGGAGGATCACAAGTTCTAGGCCAACTAAGCAATTGAGCAAAACCCTGCATCAAAATGAAAAAGAGCTAGGGCCATGGATTTAGCTCAGTGGCACTGTGCCTTCCTTGCAAGTGCAAGGTCCTGAGTTTGATCCCCAGTAACGAAGAAAAAAAGGGGTGGAACTCAGTGCAAAGGCCCTGGGTTCAAGCCCTAATACAGAAAAATTAAAAATGGAAACAAATGCCTGGCATGGTGGCACACGCCTATAATCCCAGACCTCTCAAGACTGAGGCAGGAGGATCCTCTAGAGTTTGAGTCAGGCCTGGGCTACAGAGCGAGTTCAAGGCCAGCCTGAAATGCATAGCAAGATCCTGTCTCAAACAAAACAAAAACAAAAAGAGCAGCCAGGGATTTAGCTCCATGGTGCTGCCACCTGCCTTGCAAGCGCAAGATCCTGAGTTCCATACCAGGTACCAAAAAAGACAAAAAAAAAAAAAAAAAAAAAAAAAAAGAGAGAGAAAGAGAGAGAGAAAAAATATCCCAGGTCCCTGAAACTTGTCCCAGGAATACAAGTTTGATTTTATTTTGGATTTAATACTGGGGACTGAACCCAGATGGCACAGGGCAACACCCCCAACCCTACCACCTTTTGAGGCAGGGTCTCACTTTGTAGCCCAAGCCGGTGTCAAACTCAAGGAGATCCTCCTGCCTTGGCCGACTGGGTGCTGGGATTACAGACGTGTGGTGCAACCAGGCCCAGCTCACCCTTTTCGTTTTTTAACTTTTGAAACAGAATCTTATTAAATTGCCCAGACTGGCCTAGGATGTAAGGTCCTCTGCCTCATCCTCCCAGGTACTTGAGATGACAGGCACTGAATGGCTAAAATTAAAAAACAGTAACAACTCCATGTTTTGGTGAGGTTACAGAGCAACTGGCAGCTTCTGCTGGTAAGGCTCATAAATGGCGCAACCATTCTGGAAAATGGCCTTGCAGCCGGGCATGGTGGCACACACCTGTAATCCCAGCTCTTGGGAGGTGAGGCAGGAGGATCACTGTGAGTTCGAGACCAGCCTGGGCTACACAGTGAGTTCCAGGTCAGTCTCAACTACATAGTGAGACCCTGTCTCAAAAAAAAAAAAAAAAAAAAA